CTGAGTTTTTGTATACTCACATCTAAGAAGGGGAGGGTATCTCCTGTTGCTTCCTCGCGGGTCAACCGCATGCTGCTTCGCCATTCCGCTTCCGCTTTGCGACACGGTGAACAACAACCGAAACCCCCCTAACACCTCCAACACCTCTGTTTATTTTGTCTGACGACGGGTCGGTGTCACGGACATGAAAATTTACGAGCACAACACAATATTCCGAAGAGCCTTCACTTTCTCATATATATGTGTATAGGCAGAATGCTATTACGAACAATGACAAGGAAGACTGGAATGGCCATTTCTGGCTTATTAGCCGTCGTCAGCCAGCCATTCCCAAGCCCGAAGTGTGGAACACCCGAACCTCGATCTCGCGACCTGTTGGTTTAGAAGTCAACTCCTCTAACCAACGCGCCACGAGCCCGTTTCCTTGTCGGTTTTCGATCGGGAATATACAATGGTTGGGAGGCGTTCACCGATCCCTCATACGGAACTCACTCGTTCCGTTGTGTATTAAGGGCTTTCTCTCGAGCCCAACTAGCAGCCGCGCAGCGGCGCATGATATGTAGGCAGAATGATATTACTGACAAAGACAAGGGAGACTGGGCTCGGGTGTTCCACACATCAGGCTTGGTTATGGCTGGCTGACGATGGCTAATAAGCCAGATGTGGCCATTCAAGTCTCCCTTGTCTTTGTCGGTAATATCATTCTCTTTATATATGCATATATATATATATATATATATATATATATATATATATAGACAGAATGCTGTATCCGCACTCGTAGGGCCTGGTAAGCCGCCGGGAGAATCGTGAAGCGGTTGATGGAAGTTGGTACGGAGTGCCAGGCTTCGAGCGTTTCCCTGGCCGTCGGGTCGGTACCTCGGCCCAGGATTTCGGTGTTCTGGAAGGTGAAAGTATGTCCAGAGGCAGCACAATTTTCCGCCACAGTGAGGGTTGATCCATCCTTCTCACTGCCTTTGCGTTCTCACTCATGCGAGTTTGTAATCCTTTTCCGGTCTCTCCAAAGTAGTTCGTCTCGCAGGAACTGCATTGGACACGGTAGACGACATTCGTTGTTTTGCCTCGTGACAGAGGGGACTTGGGTCTCATGACGAGACGTCTTATTGTCACTTCAGGCGTGTGCGCGACGCCGATCCCCAGCGGTTGTAAGAGACGAGCGACTGCTTTGGATACATTCTCGATATACGGTAGCGCCCGCTATATTTTTGGTTCTTCTCTCGTTGGCCTTATAAGCTTTTTGGTTGCCTGCAACGTTCGATAAAACTACGAGGATAAACGATGGAGATAAACATTCGCCGAAGATAATTAAGTTCGGCTATTTTGTCGGCTGCCTCGCTGCAACGAGTTGCCGCCCTCTTTTACAGAGTCCGCACACAGCTACGTTTATGGCACAACGGGTGGTTACTTTAGTAACTGTGGACCTGACGTGTGTTGGTGGCCTTTTGGAAAACTTTCGTTCTTAGGCTCCCGTTGGTTTTGCGGTGGACCAGGAAGTGTAGGAACGCTATTTGGTTGTTGACTTCTGCCTCCTTTGTGAACTGGATGTCCGGAAAAACAGAGTTCAGGATCGTGTGAAATTCGGAGACCATCTCTCGTTTGAGGATGACGAAGGTATCGTCCACACAAAGCGCCCAAAATATTGGTCTGTGGGTTGCAAACACCAGCGTCTCTAATTTTAGAAGAAGCGCCTCAGCAATGAAACCAGACAGCGGCGAACCCATTGGAGTTCCTTTGATTTGTTCATAGATCGTTCCTTCAAAGACGAAGTAGGTCTTGAGGCAGAAATTGAGCATCTGGATAAGGTGCCCTCGGTTAAGTCTATTGGCCTCGTCGTCATATTGACTCTCAAGTAGATCGCCGACAGTTTCAATTGCCAGACTCTGAGGAATTGAAGTGAAGAGTGAGGTAACATAAAATGATACCATGACTTCGTCTGCATTAAGGTGTAGACCCTAGAGTCTTTCCAAGAACTGTACGGTTGAGCGAACCGTTGTATCGGAGCCTGATGTGAGACAGTTCAGACGTCGGAACAGTCATTTGGTCAGGTTGAATGTAGGCGTTCCGCGCAAAGATACGATAGGTAGAAGTGGAGCACCAGGTTTGTGCACTTTCAATAGCCCATAGAATCTGGCCATAGCTGAATCTGTTGGTTTAATGGCCAGTCGTTCTGCTTTTGAGATGGCTCCGTTGCCCTGTAACCTAGCAAGCGCCGTGTTGATTTGTGCCACCAGCTTCTTCATCGGATCTCCGTCGCACCTGAGGTACGCAAGACGATCATCGAGAAGGGCGTTGGCTTTCAGAAGGTAATCTGACTTGTCGAGCACTACTGTGGAACGTCCCTTGTCGGCTGGCAATACTAAAATGCTTCTGGACGATATATATACACTTAGGAATAAGCACACACCGATCATTTGGCTTCCCGGGCCAAACCAGCCTAGTATGTGCGATAGGGGCCACGGACATTCAACCACCTACTTGAAGCAAATCGGTTCAAAATGTGATAGCAGAAGGGAGACGACAGATTCTGTGGTAGTTTGATACAATGTTTCGGACTTGGTTGCCTTCATTCAGCCAATCATAACCCTGACCAACAGCTGGGACCGGAAACAAACATGCGTACAGACACACCTGGCGCAACTGGTTCACCACGGTGTCCACCAGATCGGTTACGGATTAAGTGCTTATCACAAACTGACATTATATTCGGTGTCCTTGTAGTCACGCAGCACGGGGTCGCCGATGACTCCTGCTTCTTCTGTCAGATTTCTCAAAACCTCCAACCTCTCGAAATGCATCTTCTCTATGGCCCTACTTTCCCTGTCTGGTTGTAGGATTGTCTGCATGCCGTACGCGCACTACCGAACTGCTGGCGCGCAGTGCTGTACGTAGCTGGTTTGTCAGAAGATTTCGCCAGACTGGTGAGCGAATTCGGGATCAGCGTCGCACATAGACCTGAAGCTACAATCCGCCGGCAACTCATGCAGCCCAATGATCCGATTCCCATTAATCAGAAATCGGGGGTCATTTACCGTATAGACGGCATTTGCGGTCAGGCCAGTTATGTTGGTGAAACCGGAAAACAGGTCCGCACAAGATTGCACGAGCATGAATTGGCAGTGAGACGGAAGGATAAACTTTCCTTGGTAGCCGCCCGCGCCTCCTCGCCAGGGCCGCCTTTGGTTTTGGGAGCGTGAGAATACTAGAACAGTCAGACAACCGAGTTGCGCGCCTGCTGCAGGAAGCGTGGCACTCAACTGAGGACGCGATTAGTCGACATATCGATCTGCCAATCGCTTATCAAGCACTGCGTGAACAAATCAACGGCGCAGCTAGAGGTCAACCCCGGCAGAGGTGAGGATAATACACAACGAGCTGTACATTTTTTTTTTCATTCCTTGACGATGGGCTCGCGTGAGATTTCGAAACGTCGGATAAATAAACCATTGGTCCCATCGATCGCCTTCCCGTTTTCTTCTATACAGTTTGAAAGTGGACAAGGAGGTCGCGGTCGCGAGAATTGCGATGCTGAATATTGCCTGTTAATTCTTGTGGCGAGCGACTGCTGTCAGACGCGTTGCAGATGTCAACACATAGTAAACAAATGGTACAAACATCCAGACATATAATCCAGACTGGCAATGTTGACGGATTCGTGTTGACGATTTGGGTAAAAAGATGGGCTGACTGCTACTGGTTTATTTGGGAGCCGACGCTTCGAAGGGTTTTCTTCTCAGATAAAGTGTCCCACAGGGTAGTTAAACCTCAATCAAGGATATTTCAGATTGGTTGGATAAACAGTAAAATTACTCCGAACACGAATGCCGGACAGGCACCCGCAATGAGCGGGAATGACGTTACCCTGCAAGTCTCGGCCCGCTGGACGGGCCGGAAAATATCTTCAAGATCGACGAGGCCGAAATTATCGCATGAGGTGACAACCATGTATACTTTGAGCTGCTTGTATCCTTATTTGCCGGTTCGCGTTTGGCGAACAAGCAGAATGACCTTCGACCTTCAAATTCTGTGCTGCGATTTTACCTGGGTAAAATAATTAGCCCCGCGTAGACAGCTCGGGCCAAAAACGCTCCGTTGAGGATGAGCCAAATTGCCGTGAAATCATCACGTCAAGCGGCAGCAACAATGATGAACATATGCTTGATGACGTCGCGGATAGTGACAAACAAGCACTCATCGCATCAAGAACGGCCCCAGCGGTGAATGCAAGTTCTGTTAATTTATAAAGGTATCTGAATGTCTGGCAATAGCTAGCTCAATGTGGGGCATTTACAATCACCAGCATTGTTACATTCAAGCTAAGAACGTGGGAGTTGCTATTGAAAACCGGAGATGAGGCGTCTGCCTTGAGTTTGACAGAATGCTCTGGGGCTGGGACAATAAAATTTGTGCTGGAATCATGGCGCACGTCTGGGTCCAAATCACAGTGTAAGCTTTCGAATTCGGCAGGTGCCTCAAAAGCTTTTTTATTGTCGAAATCAAAGGCAACATCAACACATTTCAGGATTCGGACAAGCTGAAAGCAACTAAATAGCAGATTTCACTGTGTATTTACAGCGACGATCGGGAATGCGACACAATCCAGTAATTAATTCTATGAAATACCTGCTGACATATGTTAGCTGGATATATCATTTACTTCGAATTCATTACCTATGTAAATGATTTAGTATGGGAAGTGAAAGCGGACATAAAGCTCTTTGCAGACGATCTTAAACTTTGGAGAGCGATAAAAGATGAAGGTGGCGTCAGGAGACTACAAGAGGACGTAGACAATTTGCACGCATGTAGCGAGAAATGGTGCACGATATTCAGCGTCAAAAATGTGCAGTAATCCACGTATTATAAGCGAGGCGAAGAACAAATTCACCCCCATGACAGTATCTTCTGGACAATCAACCACTTAAAACCGTATCTGTGCAAAAAAGATCTCGGTGTACTCATTAAAGACGACCTAATCATCACTACGCAGTGTTCTAAAGTCGCTGCGCGGACAATGTCCGTTATGAGCGCGATACACAGAACGTTTATTAACTTGAAAACAGATGTCTTTGGCAAAGTATACGGGAGATTTGTGCGGCCGCACCCGGAATATGCAGTACAGGCTTGGCAGCCGTGGCTTCGGAAGGACAGAGATATCCTTGAAGGTGTAAAACGACATGCTACAAAGGCTGTTCACGGACACAATAAAAATTTACGTACGAGCACCGCCTGACGGTTTTGAACCTCTATGCCCTCCACTACAGGCAGGACAGAGGTGACCTCATAGCAACATTTCACTTGCTAAGAGGACTTAATCTAGATGTCAATTGGGAAGCATTTTTTTTAAATTGCTCCCAAGTCTAATCTCAGACGACATGATTATCAGCTTAAAAAGGAACTAAGCCACACAAGCCAACGTTCCTCCTTTCTCTCACAGAGGTCCATTCGCCAATGGAACTCTTTGCGGGGGTATGTTGTTGATTGCCCTACCGTGAGTGTGTTCAAGAGACAAGTGGATACTCACCTGCTGAAAGACAACCCGAACTGCCGAAGCCTGATCTAGCGAATTACTGAAATGACTATAAATTTACTACTAAGATGATTTCAATAGATCCTTTTTGTACCTTAAACTTGATCCATATTGAAATTTTTACAGAAAGAATGCGGTGAACCAAGTTTTTTTCGCAATTATTTTGCGAATACCATACCCCTTTTTCATTTATGTTCCATTTCGAAATTTATGAATTCTCTTTAGTAAAATTTCAAACAAAATCTTTGCGATTATACTATTTTCTCTTACATCTGTACCGTCTTAATGGAGTTTTCAGGGCTACTCTCGTTTACTCCAAATATACGGACTGATACTGACTGATCTCCTTCCCCTTTTCTTACTCCCCTTAAAGCTTAATGTAAATTGTACCGTCATGTTTGGCGTTCTATAAGGCCTAGGCTTATGTTTAGAGAGTAGTTTTAGGGTTGGGTTGTAATCATAGGATTAGTATTTTGGGGTAAGAGGTTGTGTTATCTACGTTAGAAAATTCATTTATCTCGTCAGTCGCGCTCATATCGGGAGGCGAAATTGATGAAGTTCTCTTTTTATTTTTACCTTCAGAGTGATTTCTAATCAGGGGCTCGGATCAATTTACTTGGAATGTCTAACCAATATCATTGCCTTCCATTTTTTCCCGTCGATTTGCATTTCATAATGGCCAGTATTTAAAACTACGAGCTGGCATTTTGCACTTTTGTTGATGCAGTTAAACAATAGATGGTCTGTTAAATGCGCATTCTTAACTGTTCTTTAAAGAAAACAGCCATTAGTCAGCTTTCATAGCCCCGCCCATTACATTCGTATTACCACCGTTACAGTATTGGGAAAATCCATATATTCCGTTATTTTTTACTCCGACAACACCCTCAATCGTCGCCTTAATACTTTTCGGAAAATAATTAACTTCTCAAAAACATAACACGTTAGATCCATCCTAACAATATTTCTGCAAACCTCCTTATCTCTGAAACGATAATAACGCACCTTAAGAATCAAATCTCCAGTGACTACACCATAGCTCCAGCATCACCTTCCGAAAACGTAAGAAAAAATGCCAGATTACCTTTATATTCCGAGTGTTTTTCACGCACAAATAATAAATTCAGGTATTCTGGCGAACGTTATTTGCTGTCATTTTAAAGGAAAGAGGTAATCAAGGCGTGCAAACAAAATCAACTCCTTTCTAACACCCTTTGGCCAAACTTTGTACATGTGGGGACGAGTTTGAAAATCGAGATCTAACTTTGTCATGACCAGGCCTAACCAGGCATCGTCTATTGGAAACTGCAGGGTAAAGTACATAGCAAGTGCAATTTCCTGCATAACATCAGCGCCGAAGACCAAAAAAATGCCGTAGGCAAAAGGCGTGTAGTAAGGCCAAGGCATCTCGCGCTTGGAGACAGACCACTTTTCGAAAGCCTTTGTAGTAAAGGGACGATAGACCTTTGCACTAACACGCTTCAAGCCCCAAGTCACTCGTCGAATCTGCGTGTCATTGAGGGCGCCCAATTCGGTCTTCAGGACGCTTACATTGAAAGCATAGTCATCATCGAGGACGACGAAGACAGGAGGTCGTTGTTGGGAGATGAAATGCGGGCGACAGAAGGTGGAGGCCCATTGGAACGTATGAAATAATTTGAGGCTGAGGTTGTAGTAGGTGTCCTCGTAGTCACCCAGTACGAGGTCACCCTTCACTCGGGCTTCTTCTGTCAGATTTCTCAGAACTTCTGATCTCTCAAACTGCATCTTCAGCATGCTCTCACCTGCCCGATCCGGCAGTGTGATGTTGAAACCGTCTCGTTGGAAGAACCGACCTCCGCTGTTGCGGGGTAGACCCACAGAGAAGACCGCAGCCATGCGAAATTCAGGTTCGCGCTGGGTTTCTTCAGCAAAAGCCCTCCGTATACGATCCCGATCTGCAAAATTGTAGACAGCTGACTTTATGACCACAATAGCATTAAGTGGTCTCTCGACTGCTTTTCCTGGGACACAGACGGTCGAGCTGACGCTGAGGAATCTGATTGTCTGACTAAATATAGGAGGCTGTGGATGAAGAAGGAGGCGATTAAACCATATACAGCTTTACGACATTTGACGAAAAGAATATCTGACTTAGTTTACATCACAGCGATGAAATCGATTGTCTGTGAATTTGTTGAAGAAATCAAAGTGGAAGCTTGTGATAGCACTTACGTAGAAAATATTTTTATTTTATTTCCACTACCTCTTACATGTCTCATCACAACCTATTTGCACAATTTCTTTAATATTTATTACCTGAACTGACGGTGCATAGGTTAGATACCTGTGTCATAAATTTCCATGCGAATGTTTTGGACATTGGGCTGAGGCCAAAAAAATCGATAAGAAAACGACCAATCAGGTGTCGAAGTCTAGGTCGACTAGCTGTGCTTCAGCAACACCCTCGTAGTTCACAAAAAAAATCGATGAATGTCCAGAATAACACTGGTTCTACGTATGCTGCTCTCGGGAAGCGTTGGTCCACGGTGGCAACTGACAAACCCCTAACTCGACAGTTGTGTCCTAAACCAATGACCCAATTTAGGTAAAACAAAATTTCAGCCGCCCATTTTCTGTTCCAGACAAGGTGTTAGGGAATGGCCGCATAGTAATGCGCTGATTTATCCAGGAGTCGATAAATGCAGAAAACACCGAGATGGAATCCATAGTACCGATTCGAACTACTAACAATCAAGACGGGAACAAGGGTCCAGCGAGACATTGGCCAATCCTGTCAGATCTGTCTTGGAATATAGAATCCCTCGAGAACTGAGGTGTACTCTGTGGTGTCTGAAGCAGTTTACCTGCCTACAATGAGGCTAAGAAATCTGTCGATATCAGAATTCTCTAAAATCCAAGGGACATCACAGAGAGGCATTTAAGGGAAACTGTTTCGCGATTCAGAACAACTTCAGAATGACTATATGGTTGCTGTAGTAATTTCAGCTGCGATTTCTTTGATAAAATCATGGGTTATGCTACCAGTTATAGCGCTGGCTTAGGTGCGTGTGCTTTAATCAAATACAGTAATAGCTATCTAACAGTATAAAATGTGCTTATACTTTAAATCGCAAGGATGCTATTTTTCGCATATTAATTCTTTCCATAACGGTAGTCTTTAACTTTGGTCTGACTTTGAAAGGGCCTTAAAGCTAACAACGTATACGGGATGAGTATTTCCGCCTTAAAACTTGCTCATATTGTGTAACACATGCAGCATGATAATCATAAATCTTGCGGCAAGTGTATTAATGTTTCGGGCTTAAAATTACTCGTAAATTGGAAATGTTTTGTAAAAGTTTCAGCCACCACTTCTTAAAGCATCCTTTCTAGGAACAGGCATAATTTGGCGTGACCATAGTATGGGAAAAATCTTTCTATTCATATTTTCATATAATAGGGGTCTAAAAAAGCAATGAAGAAAACTAGGGATAGCTATGTTATCCCGTCATAGAGAGTGCAGTTTTTCCACTCGACCGAAAGAAACTCTCTAAAATGCCAGCGTTCTGTTAAGACTAAAATATGTATCTGCGAATTATGCTGTGGAGCAATTACTACTACAAATTAACTGAGCACTATAGTCTAATTGGTTAGCTTTTAATGGGATGGCCCATCTACCTTACAATGAGTGACCTATCTCGTGAAACGTTGACTGAAATTCTGAAATGTGTTTCCGATTAGGAAGGATTACTTATGCGCGGTTGTAATACTGATTATCTTGCGCCATGGTCCTATACTATTTCAAACTCGGCAGGATGTCAGCTTTTAAATACACTGCCCTTTAATCTCTTGTGGAAACCGTACTTGGCAAAAAGTGACTACTTAAGTAGCATGCATTTTTCTCATTGGTTTTCGATGGTCTTATAAATTAATAAATATCTTGTAGAAACCATAAACAAAAATGTTCTTTCTTTCAGTCAATTTATAGAGAATCAGGTCCTCTTTGGATTTTTTATTCAGGAAAGGAGTAAAATTAGGGTTCAAAAATGTTTTTCAATTCCCAAATAATTTTGACCCAAATCTGCCATTACATTAGCGTTTAGGGATTTTCGTTTACAAGGTGCGTGCTTTCCATGTAAGGGAAATCATATAAACCTCTATGCCTTTAGAAGGTGCCATATAGAGTTTATAAGATTTTGCGATGGATACGGACTATGCTGTACATTTGACGAGGAGCTGTCGTAAACGTCCAGGTACGCCGCTATGAGAATGGACATTGCGTGGTCTTAAAAAATCTCATAATAAGAAACTTTTTTAAAACCTTATTATACTCCTTCCTTGAATAAAAATTATATAGTAGGCGTGAGTCTCTATTAATTGACTGAAAGAAAGCATATTTTGTTTCTGGTTTCTATAGGATATATCCGAATATGCAAGACCATCGAAAATCAATGAGAAAAATGCATGCTACTTAAGTAGTCATTTTTTACCAAGCACAGTTTCTACAGGAAGTGGAAAGGCACTGTAACCAAAAGCCGATATCCTACCGAGTTTGAACTGTTAACAGATTATGTAGCAAGATAATCAGTATTAAAACCGCGTCCAAGTAATCCTTCCTAATGGAAAACGCATTTTTTAGAATTTCAGCCAACAATTAATGTGATATGTCACTCACTGTATTTGCTGAATACATTTTACGTATTGTTCTTTGACTACAAATTATTATCGAATGCGCTTCGAACACAGGTTCGCTGGAGACAAAATTATGAGGCAACAGAAACTGCCGGCCTTTAGTCAGGTGTTCAAGCAGCAACTATGCCTTCCGAAAGGGGCTACAGTGCATATGCACTAATCCGGCCAACACGTGTGGGGGGAGCCACATTGAGGTCTGCAGAGAATACACACTTCAAACGAATGCCAACATTCGGGGTGTGGTTGCAGACCTCGTTTCCGGCGCACTTGTCCAACTGGAATTCCTGCCGCCCGTCACATTATTTCTGCGTTTGGTTGAATTCCTGGTCAAAGTTTGTTTGTTTTGGACCATTGGGTGTTTTGGTAGGCCTACCAAACGTGCAGAATGATGTGAACCATTCCACTGAATAATTTAACAGGCTTTTCCCGAACGCCTGCTGGGCAGCATTCTTTTTCAACAAACACACAAACATTTCGTGGGTTACTATGGTAGCCATTTCAAGGTTTTGTTATGGAAATTGTAAGCAGAAGGGCACACAAAAAAATTCGTTATTTTTCCGTGGGTAAATTTAGGCATTCGGAAATTAAGAGTAATAAGCTCAATCTACTCCATCCAATCGTTGTGCAGATATGTGTGTGTACTGTTTTCAGAGGTAAGAAATTACTTCTAATTGATTCCGCAGACCTTTTGTATACAGGCGCAACTAATAAGATTTCTTAGGCTATCGGAATTAAACTCTTTTAAACGTAGACGTCCTGACCAGTCTGAAATATCTGCGGATTCTACTGCAAGATATTTAAAATTACAAGCCTTTTAGTTTACCTTTTTGAACGGCAGCACATTGTAAAATGTCGGATAACCTTGCGTGAGACAACGGGTCTGCTGGATCGTCTGCGAAGTGTTACAAAGGAACGCTAAAGTGGAGCTGTTTGGAAAGTGATAATGGCCGCAGACTGACTGCAGCACTGTTGTTTTGATGTCAGCAGTGATTTTTGTGATAAAATCATGCAATATGTCACCAGTTATAGCGCTTGCTTACACAGCATTTGCCTTGGTATGATACGGGTAATATTGACCCGCCAGCATGAAAGATGCTTATGCGTTAAATTTCAGGGTCGAGTATTTTTACATCTTAATCCCAAACATAACATTAGTCGTATGCTTAACCCTGACTGCTTACAAAGAACATTTGCATCATGAAGAAAGGAAACCTTGAAGTCAAGTGTAACTGTGTTTCGGAAATTAGTAAAGTTATTTAAAAGCGACAGATACCCATTCTTCAAGCATAATTTCTAGAGAAGGCTTAAGTTGCCTTCTCAATCTGCTCGAGCCCAGCATGTTATACAGATGTGTAAGGTGATATTAAGTAGTAAACATTTCCCCTAACTGATTTAGCAGACATTTTGCGCACGCATGCGTCTAATATTTTATGAGGCCGTCGGAAAATAACCCAGGGTTTTGACCCGACTGAAATATTCGCGGATTCAGCTGCACGATACTCAACATAAGAACGCTTTGTAATTGATCTCATTAATTGGAAACACATTGTAGAATGTCGGCTAACACCGTGAGTTAGCAGGTTTGCTGAAATGGTCAGATGATTTTAACTCGAAAGTACTTGAGCTTACCTCTGGTACGGGTCGACCTTTCCTTATGTCAGCAACCACCTGCTTTATATCCAACGCCTGCGGATAGAGCGAGAAGACAGAACGAGGAATGGGATATATCCAGTCCCCATCTGCAATCTCTGCCATTTCCGCAAAGGTATATCGCTGACGCCCAGAATGGTTTCGCTGAATGAGCCGACCAAGGACCCATCGATCGGAACTTTTGGTGGCGTTGTCCTTGACCTGCACTACGAGAGACAAGTCAAAGGTGTTTGTCCTGTGCGAGAAAGCAAGACGATACCCGTCGGCCTGCCAGATGCCGGAATATGGTCTGGTGAGTATTCCCCAATGGAGGAATGTCCACCATTCTGCGGTTAGCAGAAAGATGACAAAACTCACTGCCAAAAGTAGATAACCTCTGAGTCTGCTTGGTAACGCTGAGTTCTGCGGCATCTCAGTTGACGTGCCAACTACTCACATCCCGTTACGAGATTAGCGATACATTTATCGGGTGACTTTAGCTGCGGCAATGCCGCAGCACACCCGGTGCTTTGATTTATCCCACCAATCAGCAAATGCGCACGCTTTACCTGAGCCATGCACTTTTTGAAGCGTGTGCTTATAGGCACACTATCCACCCATCAACATTCGTGAGTAATTCTTACATCTAATTTTAGACGTGGCACGCAAAATAAGTTGGCGATGGGAGAAGCTAGTGTTTTGTCTTAGAGAGAATCGCTCAAGGCCAATTCGATCACAGTGAGATCTACTGGCACAATATGCGTCAGCTTATAACAGTTTCAAACATCCAAAATATCTTCTAGGGTTGAATTGTTGTTTTCATCTCAGTGGCTGAAATTCTACTAGACTCACTCTCGTTCCCGCAGTTCACGTGAGAACGTCGCCTAAATAACGCAACGGTGAGTCGTCGACATATGCTGAGAAAGACTGTTTTTAGGGCCAAAGGGCATTTCCTCAATCGACTTACTTTTGTTTTTCTGACTGATTATTGTAAGTTAATGATTTCGTGGGAAAATCATATATACATACATGAGAAGGAAAGTCGATCTCGGGAGCCGTGGTTTAACCGTCCCGACGTTTCAAATTCAAACAAGCTTCCATCGTCGGCTTTCGTATTGCTCCTGATATATGCATAGAGCAATTTAGGTTTTTGTTGCGCCTCTTTTAGGAGCTCCAGTCCATAAGAAGCTCTTACTCCTCGGATGCGTCTTTTGCATGGGGTTCGTTGTTGTCCGAATTCCTAATGTTTTTGCTGGGTTCTCTGTTTTTAAGAAGATTTTCCACATCTTGCGTTTTTTTGGATTTCCTTCTTAACCATGGTTGACAGCCATTTGGGTTTGTTTCCGGTTGGATGTTTCTTGAGGGGACTGTATCGTTTAAGCAGGACTCTCATAGTTGATTCGAGGGTTTCCAGCATTTTTTGACGTCTCCTCTTAATGATTCCGTCCATAGTGTGTATCCAATCTCTGACTTCATTGCCTCAAAGTTACCCCGCCAGACATTTCTTAACGACTTTGAGCTTCGTTCGGGGACGGCTCTGAGTGTCGACTCCCACATTAATGTCATGTGATCACAAGAACCTAGGGGCGGGCCTGCATTTATTTCATCAACGCTTTCCTCGTCCTTGGTAAACACAAGGTCTAGGCAACTATCTCTCTAACCTTCACGCATCCGAGTCACATTTCGTACATGTTGAAACAGAAATTCATCAAATGCCATGTCTAATTGTATTTAGTCGAATCCTTTTCTGTGACCCTTAACTGTCATAAGGTCGCAGTTAATCCGCGGAGCATTCAAATCTCCTACAATAATAATGTTTTGGTTTAGACTGTCCTACCGGAGTCGAGTGATTAACGCTTGATCTTCGTCGGCAGGTTGATTTGGAGGCCTATATACAACGTTGATAGTAACGTTTTCGGCTTTGTGGACCAGCAAATGACACTGAAGCATCTCCAGATCATGCTCATTTACACATTCTTCAACAGGGTTATATTCGACCGCATTGCTGATATATAGAGCAACTCTGCCACCTCGCTTTTTGGTTCGGTCTCGTCTTAGCAATTGATAACCATCTAACTGCATTTGAGGGCCTGTGACATCTGGGATGAGCCACGTTTCAGTTAATGCAATAACATCAGGACATAGTTCGGCCACAATTATTCGAAGTTAGTCGAGTTTCGTCAAGAGGCTTTGTACATTTCCGTAGAAGAACTTAATTTTATGTAGGCTGTTGTGTCGAATTAATTGCCCGGCCGCGTGGCCTTCGTTAGTATGACAGGAGTCCTCCACAGGGGGGTCTTTGTCGTCGAACGATCACTCCGTTCATTATTACTAGTCCTTCCTCTCCTTGTTCTTTCAAGGTCGCCAGCTCCGCCTTCAGTGCCCTTTATTCCATTCTCTCTTTTACCGAGTAGTCCGGTTGAAAAAAGTCCTCTATGGCCAAGGATCCTCCCTACTATTCGTTCAAGCAGAAGATCCCTCTGGAGTTTAATTTTTTTAACTATCTTTAAAGGCCTTCGTTTCATCCTCTGAGAGCCCGCGCTATATTTCCTGCTTAGCCGGAAAGGTTCAGAATCTTTATGGCTTCATTTTCTTTTATTACGCTACCCAGACACTTTTGTAAGGTCATGATATCATCATTAATCCTCATTTGGGGTTATCGTTCGTTGATTTATGAAGTCCATGGACGACCACACATAGTGATCTGTCCACAGCACCTCCATTCAACGAATGTTGTTTGATACTTGGTCTGACCGATGACGAGCCTACCCCAAATTGGGCTTCGTCTCTAGTTGCAGGAATATTCGTGAGAGTATGTACTTCTGTCGTAAATCGTAATGTTCTCACGAACTAACGAGTTATATCTCACGAGCCCCTAGCCTTAAATGCAGCAAGTAAATCGGAGCGGTGAATAATGTAGAGGTTTTTGAACGTTAAGAAAACTGACAACAGGATACCACAGCAGAGCACGCTAGCACGGCGGGTTGTACAGGTGTGTCGTTTCTCGTCACATTCAAACAAGCAATGCGGTCAAAGGAAATGGGACTAAATTGTCAAAGGTAAATTAGTCTGGTACCTCACCACAGTACCCCCCTTCTAGACCGGAGGGCGACGGGATACGGCGCTGGAGGATATGCACAAGTCTAGAAAAAATGGGTAACTAAACGATCGGGAAAATGAACGTGACGGCCACTGCGAGTTATGTATGCAGGAGGTACAGTCGAAGAGGGTTGACTGCGTGCTGTGCTGGACGATGGTGTTGCAGTTGGATGTTGTTGACATGTAGGGAGAGGAAGTATGCGGGACGGAGGGGTAGAGGGCAAGGGAGGGGAAGGGCAAGGCAGTGGGCAGGGTGAACGAGTAGGGGATAGGGAAGATGGAGGAACAGGTGTTAGGGGGTCAGCACATGTTTGTCCTTGTGACAGGTCCGGCGGCTCCTCCGCAACAGCAGCCTTGACCCGATCGACACTGCCCACGTCCTCCTTGTCATTGCAAAGAATTCGGAAGGTCTTGGTGTTGCGCGCGAGCACGCGGAACGGTCCTTCATATGGTGATTCCAGCGACTGGCGCACACGGTCACACCGGACGAACACATGAGTACATTTGTCCAAGTCTTTTTCGACATAAGACTCAGTCATTGGAGCTCGAGGTGGAACCGGGGAAAGCGAGCGCATAAATTGTCGCAAACGGTGCACAAGATTGTCAGGAGTCTCGTCGGCTCCACGAGAGGTTGGGGTGATCATCTCGCCTGACAGTCGGAGGGTAGTGCCGAAAACCAATTCGGCTGCGCTACAGCCCAGATCCGACTTCAGAGCTGCGCAGATGCCGAGGAGTGCAAGAGGAAGGTTGTCCGACCAGTTTCCTGGGTCTTCTACGGCACGCAGGGCGGTCTTTAGCTGGCGATGGAAACGTTCAACCATACCGTTGGCAGCTGGGTGGTAGGCTGTCGTCCGAATGCGTGTGCAGCCAAGAAAATTGAGTAGCGTTTGGAAGAGTGCCGACTCAAACTGGGCACCACGATCAGTCGTAACCGCGGATGGGGCACCGAACATGGCGACCCAACGACTGACGAAGGCCTTCACGATGGTTTCAGCCTGAACATTCGGCAAAGGAATAGCTTCAGCCCAGCGAGTATATCGATCGACACAGGTAAGGAGGTAGGTGAAACCATTGGGTGGAGGCAAGGGGCCTACGACATCCAGATGCACATGGCTGAACCGTGCGTCGGGACTGGGGAAAGTGCCTGGTGGGGACTTGTTGTGACGCTGCACCTTGTTGCGCTGGCAGCTCAGACACGACCGGGCCCAAGCTTTGACGTCCTTGTTCATGCCAGGCCAGACAAACCTTTCCGCGAGGAGCTTTTGAGAGGCTCGGATCCCAGGGTGGGAGAGTTCATGTAGAGTTTGAAATACAGCTCGACGCATCGAGGCGGGCACAAAAGGGCGATGAAAGGGAGTTGAGACGTCACAAAGTATGGTACCAGAGCCGGTGGTCAGAGGAACGTCTTTGAGTTGAAGACCACTAACAGACTCGTCGCCAGGACAACCGACTCGCTGCTGCTCAGCCGCCATGGCACAAAGATCGATCCCGTGTGAGAGTTGGAGGGAAGACAGTGAGGGTCTGGACAGCATATCAGCCACCTCATTCTTCGGGCCATCAATGTGGCGGATGTCGGTGGTGAATTGCGAGATGTAATCCAAATGAGAAATCTCTCTCGGGCTATATTTGTCTGAATGGGATCGGATGGCAAATTTAAGTGGTTTGTGGTCTGTGAAAATGGTGAAGTCACGACCCTCAAGGAAGTGTCGGAAATGTTTTACGGCTAGGTAAATGGCAAGAAGTTCACGGCCAAACGTGCTATATCTCGTCTCGGCAGGTGAAAGCTTCTTGGAGAAGAATGCCAACGGTCGTGTCGAGTTGTTGATATGCTGTTGGAGGACTGCTCCTACGGCAACGGTCGAAGCATCTACCATCAGGGACAAGGGGCTTCTGGAGCAGGATGAGTGAGCAAGGTAGCATCAGCAAGGGAGGTCTTTAGTCTCTCAAATGCAGTCAGCGCGTGGCCACGTAACTCAAAAGGACCCTTGGGACCAGAGAGCACGTTGGTGAGTGGCAGCATAAGGTCGGCACAGTTCGGTAGGAACCGGCGATAAAAGTTTACCATGCCAAGGAAACGTTGCAGCTGACGCTTGGAGGTTGGTGGAGGAAAGTCACGAATGGCCTCAACCTTGGAAGAGAGGGGACGCAAACCTTGTGCATCGATATGGTGACCAAGAAAATCAAGGGACGGCACACCCAGGACACACTTTGAAGGGTTAATGACCACGCCAAACTGATCGAGGCGGTCAAACACTAAGGCAAGATGCTCTTTGTGTTCCTCGGCATTTCGACTGGCCACCAAGAGGTCATCGATGTAGGCGTACACAAACGGGAGACCACGTAGGACTCGATCAATGAACCTCTGAAATGTTTGGGCAGCATTGCGAAGACCAAATGGCATGCAAACAAATTCGAACAGGCCGAATGGAGTGGTGACGGCAGTTTTGGGAACATCCTCAGGAGCGACAGGAATCTGATGGAAGGCCCGAACAAGGTCAATCTTCGAGAAAACCGATTTGCCGAAAAGAGCTCCAGAAAAATCTTGAATATGAGGGACGGGATAACGATCCGGGATGGTCGCATTGTTGAGGGCACGATAGTCACCACAGGGCCGCCAGTCGCCTGATGTTGCCTTAGGCACCATGTGCAGTGGGGACGCCCAAGGGCTATCGGACGGTCGAATTATTCCCAGTTGCAGCATGTGTTCAAACTCCGCCTTCGCGGCCTGAAAACGCTCCGGTGCTAGTCGTCTCGGTCGAGCAAACACGGGAGGACCTGAGGTGCGGATATGGTGCACAACATCATGTTGAACTTCACCACTGCGAAACTGGGCGTTAATTATGTTGGGGTGACTAAGCAGCAATTGCCGAAAAGGACTGGCAATATCTGTATCCAGGACAGATAAGTTGGTGGGGGCAGTAAATGGAGTTAGTCCACGGACGAACAGACCGGTTGTGCGGTCGAGGAGACGGGCACGTCGACAGTCAACAAGGAGATCGAACTCGGCAAGGAAGTCCGAGCCAAGGATTGCATGAGGGGCATCAGCAATCACAAAGATCCAAGTAAATGACCGACGAAGGCCAATGTTCAGGGTGAGGGACAGACTGCCAAAAGTGAGAATTGGGGAACAGTTAGCAGCTTGAATATGAAGACCAGGACTAGGGAAAGGGCGATCAGCTGCAGTTGGGGGAACAACACTGATTTGAGCTCCAGTGTCCACCAGAAAACGTCTGCGAGTCGCAGCGTCGCAAACATAGAAGGTGCGACCAGAGCCGGAGGAGCCAGAGAAAACGGTCGCATCTATTCTCTGGCTGACTGGTTTCCCTGTTTTGGCTTAAAAGAGCAAGGTGAGGAACAGCGACGGGCCTTTACGCCGAAATTAGTGTGGTACCAGCAAGTATCAGCAGTCCGAGGTCGCGAACGAGAACGACGACGACTGCGTGAGCGACTGGAACTTAGGCGGGCGAGCTGTATTTTAAGAGAGGCCATCTCATCTGCCATGGCCGACACCTGTTTTAGTAAATGCTCATTCACTGACGATGAGGATGAGATCTGGGCAACGGAAGGTGACTGGAATCGTTGCACCTCTATCATTCGATCCGCCATCTCAGCCAACTGTGACACTGTGAGATCCTGAGAGCCGGACGCCAGGATCGCTTTAACATCTGTGGGCAGGCGCTCCAGGAACATCTCCTTGACAAATTTATCATCAACTTGCATGTCTCCAAGGAGACAACGCATCCGACGTAGAAGCTCTGAGGGCTTCCGGTCACCCAGTGACTCCTCCTTAATTAACTGGTGATACCTCTGTCGGTCAGACACAGAATTAAGTCGGAGGATTTCTGCCTTTTACGCGGAGTAGGGAGCATCTGCAGGAGGATTAGCTAGCAAGGACTGAACTTGAGAGATGACACTAGCGGGGAGGACCTCCACGAGTTTGTGGTATTTTGCTAGCTCCTTGGTAACGTTGGCAGAATAAAAGGCTGATTCTATGCGGATGAAGTAAAGTTCTGGAGCGTGTTGCCAGAATTCAGGCAAAGTAAAATTGATTGCATGAAGGGACTGGGCGGGGGCATCAAGTTTTTGATCGGAGTGAGACATAATAAGACAGAGATGTCAAAATATCAGGATTCGTGAGGAAAGCAAATGTAAATGGAATAGATATTCACAAGCAAATAGTACGTTAAATGTTATCCAGTATGACAGAAAGCTATAAAGTCTGCGTAAACGTCGGGAGTCACCAATGTCGTAAATCGTAATGTTCTCACGAACTAACGAGTTATATCTCACGAGCCCCTAGCCTTAAATGCAGCAAGTAAATCGGAGCAGTGAATAATATAGAGGTTTTTGAACGTTAAGAAAACTGACAACAGGATACCACAGCAGAGCACGCTAGCACGGCGGGTTGTACAGGTGTGTCGTTTCTCGTCACATTCAAACAAGCAATGCGGTCAAAGGAAATGGGACTAAATTGTCAAAGGTAAATTAGTCTGGTACCTCACCACACTTCCACTCCCACTCTAGGTTCATTTTTATTCGGTCTTGTCTTGGTTGACGCTCCCCTCACACTAGGCTCAGGAGATACGCATGCTGTCTCCGGACTGTTTTCCTCTTTCGTCGGTCCATCTTTATCATTTTCATTCTCGGCCCTCGGTTTCCTTTCTGGCGAGTCTGATACCTTCGCCTTCGGATTTTCGCGAGCTTTCTGCATAGTCTTTCCTGTCGCCTTTTTCTCATTCTTTACTGATTCTGGAGGTTTCCCGTCACCACTGATAACTGTAGTGGGATACTGCTTATACTGTTTGTCTCGCGCTCTACTCCTCGTTACCCTGTGCGTAGATGCTGCCAACTTATCCTCTGTCATCAAAGTCTGCTGGATAAAATTCTTCATGTTTGTAACTTCTTCCTCTAGTTGATTGAACGTTGAGGCTAGCGTTTGACAACCGCTGCAAGAGGTTTCCGCATGTGTCGGTCGTAGCCAATTTGTAAGGCTTTAAGAGTGGCCGCCTGAGCGCGTGGCGATAGCGCAGTGGTCTGCGTCGCAGCCTTCACCACTGTAGTCCCGGGATGGACCCCACAGTGAGTACCATTTTGAAATTCTTCAGAGTTTGCTATTTTGTATATCCAACATAAAAAACAATTAGGTGAGATTTTTGCCTTAGTTGTGAGACGGAAAGACTTTGGCCTCGTTCTGGTCGTGAAGAGTCACCGTATAAGGCGAATATCTTCGTCTTAAAGAGGATCGTCGATCACATACGGGAAGCAGCTGTTTAGTTCTAGGACTTTATCGAGCACGCTCGAAATATGATGCATTCAACGAATAAGATTAGAAGAGTAACTCAGGCTATGCGGGAGTTGTTCCAGATGTTTCGATGGAAGGATAATCCAAGTTATTCTACAGTAGTTGATGGTCTTCGACGCAAATGTTCATTGAAATTTCAGTTCTGACCGTAAAAGTCATGTCCAGAAGATTTAACTCCAAGTCCAGCACTGATTAATTTCTGAAATTATTCGCTTGATTATTCCCTGGAGTTCATTAGCCAGAAACTGCCAGAGAACGCTGGGAGTCCCACTGAAAGCCAAACCCCTCGCAGCTGTGTCACGAAGCGCAAAATATCGGCGAAACGCGTGTCTTGGCTTTTAGCAAGTATCTATGTCGAAGAGAAGGGTATAATACATTTAATAGTCGTCTTCGATGTGCTCGGAGCTCGTTGGCGAAAACGAGACAACGCTCCTCAGCCAAGTGATCGGTCAGCGAGCAAGAGAATTGAGATCCAGACGTGATAAGGAGTTGATGAAGAAGTTCCAGAAATTAAGCTCAGTTGGACAAGATGACAACGATGTACCGGTCCACAATCTATCCTCCACAGAGTTTAAGCCAGAGCAGATTCAAGTTCTGAAGCATGCTGCCGGATTCAACATCTCGGACGCCGATCCGGTGAACCTCGTAACCACGATCGAGTCGGTTCTAAAACACTCCCAAGAGCCAGCTGAGACACAGTACCTCATTCGGCAACAAGTCACCTCCCTGGTTATGATGCACAAACCGCGATTGGTCATCTCGTGAGCACAGCAGGATGCCCTCAGGTTGCTGAAGGCGGACAAGAGTATCGTGATCCTACCGGCAGATAAAGGGCGATCGACTGTTATACTTGGCAAGGCCGAGTACCTCCAGAAAGCCAATGCCTTGCTTGAAGACAGGCAAGCGTACGTCAAGTGTGATGGAGACCCCATGAAGAAGCTGGTGACGCAAATAAACACGACGCTCACCATGCTACAAAATAATGGCGCGGTGACGAGGGCAGAACGACTGGCCACCAAACCGACTGATGTTGCCATGGCACGGTTTTACGGGCTGCCCAAAATACACAAAGATGGTGCCCCACTTCGTCCCATCGTATCCTTACGCGGGACACCCACATTTAACCTGGCCAAATGGATGTTCCGACGCCTGAACTGCCTCACCTCGGGCTCCGACACGACGGTCCGCTCCTCCGTCCATTTCCTGGAAAGACTGAAAGGCCTGCAAATTAACACAGCCGAGGTCATGGTGTCGTTCGATGTAACCTCGATTTTCACCTCGATCCCAAAGGACTTGGCAGTCGAAACTGTCAGCGACCTCCTTGGCAGCCAATACACGGAGTCAAACAATACACCTAGGCGGGGGCACCTGGTGCAACTGCTTAAATACTGCCTCCAGACGTTCTTCACATTTGAAGGGACGGTGTACGAGCAAATCAAAGGTACGCCATTGGGCTCACCACTATCCGGTTTCATTGCTGAAACTGTTCTTCAAAAGTTGGAGACGTTGGTGTTCGCAAGGTACAAGCCAAAATTTTGGGCGCGGTATGTGGACGACACTTTCGTCGTTCTCAAACGGGATATTGTCTCGAATTTCCACGCACTACTGAACTCTGTTCTTCCCGATATTCAATTCACCATAGAGACAGAGAACAACAATCAGATCGCGTTTCTAGACGTTCTGGTCCATCGCAAGGTCAACGGGAGCCTAAAAACGACGGTCTACGGGAAGGCCACTAACACTCTCCAAGTCCTGTCCTACCACAGCAATCACCCGCTGTGTCACAAACGAAGCTGTGTTCGATCTCTCTACAAGAGAGTTGATACTCACTGCAGCGAACCGGCCGACAAGGTAGCCGAACTCCACTATTTGCGGCGGATGTTCACCTCCAACGGTTACCCCCGCAGCTTTATAGAACGCAGCAGACTATCCAGGCTAACAATAAAGTCAACGACAAATCAGCTGAAAGTCTGGCGAGCGCTGCCATATATTGCGAACGATTTCGAGGTAGTTGCTCGCATCTTGCAACCATTGGATATCGGCATGGCCCACAAACCAGAGGCGACAATTAGACGTCTGGTCATGATGCCAAAAACGCCTATGCCACGAGGCGAAACTGCCAACGTCATCTATCGGATCCCGTGTAGTTCCTGCGAGGCAAACTACGTTGGAGAAACGGGGAAGAGATTGCAGACCCGTATGGACGAGCACGCAAGAGCGGTACGAAGAATGGACCAGCTCTCGTTGGTGGCAGAACATTGTGCAGCTTTTGGCCACGCCTTCGCCTTCCAAGACGCCGAAGTCTTGGGCCAATGGAGCGATCAAACGGTCAGGGAGACGCTCGAAGCCTGGCACACCACAACTACCTCAATCAACCGCTGCGTAACTTTACCGGCTGCCTACCAAGCCCTACGGGTGAAGTTCAATAGGCAGGGCTACCGACGAGACGTCTGGCCGGAGACGACAGTAACCAAATCCAGACCAAGCGGGATCTCGGACGGGCATAGACAGACGTCGGGAACAAACGAAACCAGGGGACAACCGGCGGCGAACGCGGGCAGACGCGAGCAGTCG